TTCATCAATCTGGGGCTGTGGGGAAACATTTCCCATCTCTCCCTATCATCTCGTGAAGATTAGAGATCCTGATGGAGTGAAATGGCTTCATCACTGTGCGGATCGGGTGCGCTTTCATCCCATGGGAAGAGGAAAGCATTCACAGTGGAGCAAAGACATCCACCATGGGACAGCGCTGAGTAGAAGAGCCTGGGTCACACCTGTAGGATGCTATAGGAAAAGGGGAAGAAGCAAGCTTTTGGCTGCAGAAAGAAAGTAATAAGCTACAACAACAAAGACACGTTGCTTCGGCTGCGCCAGGAAGTTCAAACGTAAGGAGGAAGGGTAATTAATTTCTACAGCAGAACTCAGAGTTTGTAATAAACTCTCAGATGGGCAGAAATGAAAGCTTGTCCTGAATTCTCCCATTCTGAAAGAAGGTAGCATTGAGCATAATATCAGAAAGAGGAGCCTGATGGAAATGAGCGCCGCTGCGTGTTTTTCTGGCCGCGAGAACGGCGCGCAGTACGTCAGGGCTTGGCGCGTGGCAGAAGGTCAGAGCCGATTCTGAGAACCCAGTAACAATAGAGTCATCGTGGACACAGGTGCTTCCGGGACTGATCTTGCCATTTGGCTGTTTCCAATTAAATGAGAAGCAGCTGTGGCCTTTTATCTGCTGGAGTCACTGGAATCCATGTGAGGGGAAACTTTCTCCCATCTCCTCCTCTCTCCCCACCCCAAGCATGCAGCTCTGCTTTCTGAAGACAGAGAGGGGTAGGGACAGCCAGTTAGCAGAAGACCCCCACACACAAAAAGTTGCCTTTCTTATCTCAGAGCAAAGCAAAAACTAGGTACTGGTTCAGCCATTCACTTTCCAACACCTTTATTTGGGGACAAGGAGGACAGCCAGCAAAATAAGAAGCAGATACGAATTCTGTTGAAGGTTGTCAGGCAAAGAGATTTGGGACACTTTCCCTCAGGCAACAAAATAAACAAATGAAGCCAATGTTAAGTGCAAGTTCTCAAGTGTTTACAGCACTGTTCTGCATGCAGAGTACAAGGGGGTTTCTTTTACAGAAAGGGGTCGAGCTTTAGAGAAGGTACTTTCAATAGTCAGCTGGTGGGATTCTAGAAGAGGCTCAGGAAGGTCAACACTGGGCTGTCAGGCAGATGAAGAGAGCTGGGGGATTTCAGAAATCCAGTCATTGAGAGCTCCCAAAGAGCTCCACACCAGCTAAATGTACTTTAGATGACCTTTTATTTGCCATTTCATTGATTCTGGAGCTATCAAACCCCTCCACATCTTGATTATCTCTTCTAGCCTGCCAAAGTCTTTTTTTACTTTTCCCTGGTACCTTAAGAAAGGGAGAACTTGGCTCAAATTTGTGCTTGTCACTAGACAACAGAAATGTGAGACTCTAGGTGTTTGGTTTGGTTGGCTTAAAGAGCAGCCATTTCACAACCCATGCTTAGCTTTTTGGGCAGAGGAAGCCAACAATCTTCTGGCTTTACCCAGCCTGCATATAACTGAAAACACGAACAGCTTTG